CAATGCTAAAGGTGAGCCAGGCAAAGTGAAGGAAAAGACTCACAATGTAGGTAAAAGCTTAGTTGTAAAAGCTTAATTGGGCAAAAATATGGAATGGGAAAGCAAACGGGAAGAAAGTTATTAGGGTGAATTGAGTATAAAATGCAGAGAATTATGAGGTATTTTGAGAGCAAGGTGAAGGAAAACTACAGGGTTGTGATTACTGAGTAAAGGCAGCATCCAGGACTACTGCCAGTTACTCTCCCTCAGCTACGCTACTGCTCCTTCTTCTCTTCCCCCTTCCTCATTGATTCCTCTGCACCTTCACTTTCTCCATTGCATTGTCCCCTTTAGACTTTGCCTTTACTCAGTAATCACAACCCTGTAGTTTTCCTTCACCTTGCTCTCAAAATACCTCATAATTCTCTGCATTTTATACTCAATTCACCCTAATAACTTTCTTCCCGTTTGCTTTCCCATTCCATATTTTTGCCCAATTAAGCTTTTACAACTAAGCTTTTACCTACATTGTGAGTCTTTTCCTTCACTTTGCCTGGCTCACCTTTAGCATTGCTGGCTCAGCCCTTCCTGTCTGATCTGCTGGTTTTTCTGCTCCTGAGGAACCTGGCCAGAGGCAAGGCGAGACACCAAGGGCTACTTGGAGACATGGTGCTTGCTCTAATGTGTGGGTGCACTTCTACAAATGGCAGGCAGCACCTTGGCTGTCTGTCAGATCATATATTGCTGGCTATCAGAAGAAGATGGAAAGAACTGATCAAGAATATGCACCATTTCTCATTTATACGCTGAGAAAGGGACAGACAAGCCTGTTTTTGTAAGCTGGTGAGAGGACCCCTACCAAAGCAACATCACCCAATACATTGAAAAAAAATGGAACAATCCATAAGAACTGGGTTGTGCAGGAATACTACATATGCAGCAAATGAGCATCAACCAGAATGACCTGAATCAGAGATTACAGGAGCCAGGAGTAATTTTCTTAATGGTTTCTTTTCGCTGGAAGTATTTAAAACAAAGTTAACTAGCTGTCCAAAGCTGGGAGTAAGAGGGTGCAATTCAAATCTTGCCTGGAGAGTGACATGATGTAATAATTATATCTTAGAGGTCTCCCAGGCCCAAATGAGGTACCCGGTGTAAGTTTATAATACAATTAATCTGTCAAACCATGAGATGTGAAAGCAATTTGTAACTCCTTTCAGCGTCCAAGAGAGGAACACCGTCTATTATTTAAGAAATGGTTGCTGTTTTATATTAACTTTAAAACTTGCTTTAACTTTGTTGCAGCTTGCTCAGATATTACCAACAGAAGAAAACTTCCTGTTGTTCTTTAGGTGCCAGCAACTAAAGTCAAGTGAAGATTTCATGCAGGTACTGTATGTTAATTTGCCTTTCATAACAGCATCCTAGTGTAGCTGTTTTAAAAGGTATTACATGGTTGCGTGCAACTGCAGAGGCTTAGAGGGTCCTTTTCAGTCTTATGTTTCTAAAACATATCTTTCATTTTTCTGGCTGCAGACATGGCGAAAGTATGACACTGACCACAGTGGCTTTATTGACACTGAGGAACTTAAGGTAAAATGATGAGCATATGTATTTTACAGTAATTGGAGGTGTGTGTGTGTATATATTTAACTCCAATACTGATATCACTACCTGTTTCTTCAAACTTCAATGATTGTTGAAATGTGAAACCCAAGCAGAAAGTGATACCACTAATTGATGTTTCTATCACAGACAAATGATAAAGTACAAATTCAGTCTGATCAGCGATTCTAAAAATGGCATTTAATGGAGTTCTTTTTTTGTGTCTTGGGTAATTTCCTGCTACTATGTACCCAGTCTAGAAGGCCAACTATTTTAAACTACCTGCCCTACAAATTTTGCTAGGTTTCTGAGAACTAAGTTAGATTCCCTGAAGGACCTCATATGCTGCGTACCAAATTCTGCTCGCACTAGCATCCGTACAATGTCCTTGTTCGTTCCATACTAGTTCCTCTCCCATACAACAGCAGTCTTGCTACTCATGTTTGCTTTGCATGTGTGAAATGGATGGGAACTTAGTGCAATAGAATCTAGATATTTTGCAGATCCTAAGTCCACTGCAAAGATAAGGATGTGTCAATTAATTTGAGGAGCTGCAAAAAACAGTGAGGTGCTCCAACTGGCCTTGCCTTTTATTTCAAAGGGTGCTGATTCTCTGATCAGCTGGCTAGGACTGCTTCTGTACTCCAGCTGAGTGAAGAAGCAGCAGCCTTTGAAGTAAAGCTGCAGCAAGCATCTCATCCTTAATTTAGCAACCTGCTGCAAATTAAGCAGGTTATGAACCAATCAAATATGAATGATTTAGGTTCTACTGTACTCAGTTCTGCTGGTATACATGGAAGAACAGAATCCAGTTTGATCTGTTGACTTTGCAGAGCCACACAGCTCACGGAAGTAAAAACCAACAGTGCAGCAATCAGCATATACATGGAGGGCGGGTCTAACTAAAAGATTGCCGCTTTGTCAGAATAAAATTTCATTTTCACAGTTGAGGCTGTGGAACTAAGCCTCAATTTTAATAAGCTGGCATAGCCCCCTTTGAAATAAAAAGTTCTAGGATAATTTATTTGTGCTTACCATTGATTGCAATGAACCACCTTGGCCATATACAGAAAACCAAACCAGAAGTGCTTGCACAGTAACCAAAGGCATTCAAAAGTGCTAAATTTCCTGAAATCTTTAAAAAATGCTTTTAAAAAGCAGCACATCTTTTATTAATCTGTGTAGTCAAATTACCTCCTTTCTCCAATCCACTCTCAAACTATTTTGGTAATACAAAATATCTGTAATAACTCTACTAAAGATTCTGCCTCATGTTGAAGTTCATAGCTGGAAAGCCATATCCTATAGACTTGGTGGGCAGGTGTCTGTTCCAGCTCAGAAATTACATGTCAAAAGAGAGGTGTCTGGCTGGAGCCATAGCTGGTACACATTGCAGTCCAGCAGACCCTTAAACTCAGCCTCCTATTTGTATCATTTATGGCTGCTATTAAATGCTGGGCTGATGAAGAAGGACCCAGAGATCTGAGGAAGCTTAACTGTGTCCCTGACAGCCCCCAGCTCTGCTGTGCTGAGCAGATTTTATCTTCCAGTGAGAATCTGGATTATTTTAATCCTTTCAGAACTATTTGTTATAGCTGGTTTTCCCTTAAACTAGTAATCAGTAAACTGTTTCTCTTGACATGTATTGCTATAGTGGAAGAAATCTGGTATTAACTGCCATGTTCATTTAAGAAATCAGTTGATCTAATCAAACCACTTACTATCTCTCTTAGTAGCATCCCCTCTCCCTGCCCCTGTCCCTCTGTCTCTCTTTTTTTTGCCAATTCACTCCTAGCATCTGACAAAACAGACTGTTTCCTACAAAAGCTTATACCTCTCTGAACCAGTTAATGTACAAGGTGCCGTGCCCCTTACCTTTGATCAATCAGGGAAGTATAATTTATATAGAACTCAGTTCTAACTTGTTTTAAAAGAATAGAAGATCCAAAATATTTCCATGAAATCTGTTTGCAGCATTTCTGTGGTGGTTTCTGTATATTAACTAGGTTTAGAGAAGCCTGAATGAGAAAATGCTGAGCATGATGGTGATATTGGAGCAGTCTCAGCCCAAGTTCAAGGACATTACATGTACAGGAATAGAAGCAGAGATGGTTTCTAAGGAAAAAAAAAACCTGTCTTAAAAACTATGAAAACGCAGCATTATTCTAACAAATGACATAGAGGTTAAAAAGTAGTGTGCTCCTCATCAAAAGCTGATAAGCACAGACAATTCTCAAGTCTGACAGACTCCTTGCAAAGTAAATTAAGATTTTTAAATATCACAAATCTAGGACAATAGTTCAAGCCAATCAGTGGGGAAAACAAACTTTAGTCTTGAGATGAAAAGAGGCTGTTTTTGAAGGTCGGGAAGAAACCATGCCAGTCTCTCTAAAAAAAAGCCTTGCAGAATTGACTAAGTGAATTTTGGGTACCAGTGCATGAAGGAGCAAGACAGGTTCACCTTCACCTGAAGCATCAGGTTCTGGTCACTGCCGTGGGCGGGGAGTAAAGTTGATTAATCATTGACTTTTCTGTAAAACTATTTTTGTGTTGCAAGCTGCAACTAGGACTCAAAGTCTTCTAAGAGGTCTCAAGGTTAATTAGTGTAGTTTAATGTTAAAGCTGAGGAGTTAAATGCCAAATCATTTTTTGTAGACTTCTGTACAGTAAATGACATAAAGCATAAAGTGCTATAGGTTTCTTTTAGAAAATAAAGTATGGCAGCATACTTGGATTTGTTAAAAAAATGTTGTTATTAGATATATTAAATGTGTAAATTACTGCTCATTTGCATACCTATTTTTAAATTTCACTAGTAAATTTTAAACTAGTAGTAAAGTAGCATCTCCCAACTTTTCTCTAGACTGAGATTGCATTAAACAAAACACATAACTGACCTGTAACCATCTAGCATGTTTGCAAATATTCACTTGCTTGTTCTATTATTTAACAGAATTTTTTGAAAGACTTACTACAGAAAGCAAATAAGCAGATTGATGATGCCAAGCTAACAGAATACACAGAAATAATGGTAAGATTATTCACAGACATTTCATCCAAAAAGACTGATTGACTTAAAACAGTGCTTATCTTCATCTGCTGACTCTTCCCATTGACTCTAATTAAAATAATTTTAAGTTTCTGTCACTTCAAATTGGACATCAAATCTTACAGCCCACAGCCAAATGTTGTATAGCAAGAAATTCTGTACCTATGCTAATTTTAAGCTGTGACCTGTAAATTTTGCTGCATTGGAAAATGACAAATATGCAGATAGGAAAGCTGGAAGAAATTCTAGTGTCCTTGGTAATAAGTAGGTGGTGTGTGTGTATACGCATGCATGCACAGTAGTGTGCCAAAGACCAATGAACCAGAAAGGTGCTAAGAATTTTGCATTGAAGATGCTTTCATTTCATACAAGATGTGAAACCAAGGTTTTGACCCTTGTTATGAAAAATTCCACAGCACATTTTGTAAGTATAGCCTCTAAGGCAGGAGATTTGGAAGCTGGTCACTGTGTGCTTGTACAAA